GAATATTTCATGGACAGAACATGTTGGGATGAGATGTGAAGGACTGAGAGGTGCCTTGGGAGTGGAGGAGTAGGGGCTGCCAGAGGCAAATACCTGTCCCTTGAAGTCTCTGGGCAAGCTTCCCAGCGAATGAGGCCAAAGGCATTTGCTGCAATCATAGTTCTGGTTGAAGGTCAAAGGTCTGCCAGTCCCCATCAGATGTTCCTCATCAATGTACCCTTTCTCTTCCCGGAAGGAAGACACATTGGCCACTCGGGCTGCCCCTGCCCGTTGTAGGGTCCCTGGGAGGAGGGAGGACCACACACTTTCAGCGCAAGTCCTGCAGCAGACTCCCCTGCCCACTCCCCAGCCTGCTTCTTCATGAGACTCCAGGAGAGCAGGCCGCCCACGCAGGCGCCCAGGTGAGGCGCAGGACGGCTGAATGTGGCCTGAGACTGCATTTCCATCTCAGTTGCTTTCCTCAGGCTTTCTCTCCTGTTTTATTTAGTGTGTCTTTTGTTTTGTTTGGGGGTTTTGTTTATTGTTTCTTGTGGTTTTTTTTTGCCTAAAATAAAAGTGGAGTTTTGCCTTGCTTTTCTTCCACTTGCCAGCTGGAGGTAATGTAATTGATCCTGGTTCATGTTTTTAATCTCACTGAGGGCTAAGAGGGGGAAGGAGAGGCTGGAAATGCTGTGAAAGCTGTCTTTCACACATTCATACACTCAGTCACTTACTTATTCATCGCGCGACTATCCATTAGGCCCCTGGACCCCGGCAGACACAACCTATGGGCTAAGGACATACAGGTGCTAAGTTCAGGGGAAAAGAAACATATGCAGAGATACTTGGAAAAGTGGGGCTTAAAAAAAACTTTTTAAACTACCTTCAGAAAGAAAGTGTAATTAGTATCAAGAGAACAAGTTAAATCTTAAAAAAAGAAAAAGAAAAAAAGAGTATCTAATAAAAAAAAAGTCTGGATTATAGAAAGTGTGAAAAATACTAGCTGTCACGTATGAGTTTGCCTGTTGTTTCAAAATGCTAAAACTGTCTTGAGCCTACATTTAAAGGAAGAATCACAAATGAAAAGCTGAGCAGGAGGTATCTAGCCAAAACCTGCTGGAGAGAAAATCATTCTTAAAGAGGACAATGGACCCAAACTCGCAGACACAGTGACGTGAAGGCCAAGGGGGCTCGCAGCCGAGCTGGAGGCTGATCTTCATGCAGCAGCATCAGGGCAGGAGCAGAGACATGCACAGGGGCCTCAGGAGCCCTGGAAGTGGGGCAGCCGGGGAGGCAGAGGGGTGAGGGCAGAGCCCACAGCACAGGCGGTATCTGTGCTGGGTGTGGGCAGCTGAGCTAGCGCTACTCTACCTTAAAGGGATGGGAAGGGATATTCCAGATAAAGGGAAACAGACGTGCAAAAGCGCAGCCAGAATTAAAAAACAGAGTGGTCCAAGAGACACAGATCGGCTGGCTGGTGACAAGAGTGTAGGTCTGGGAAAGGCAACGGTGAGGTTCCCAGTCTGCAGATGGACTTGTAAGTGGGGAGAAGCAGCTTAGTTTTTATGTCTATAAAGCACAGAGCACCTTCAAAGGACCTGAAGCAAGACAGTGGTATGACGAACGGTGATTTGGTGGCAGGAGGGGAGACAGGAGAGAAGACAGTTTAAGGAACTGTCATAAGCGAGGCACAGACAGGATGTTGCAGCATAGTGTGCATTTTGGAAAGGGGAAGAAACATATGTACTTGCAAATGTGCAGAGTCTGGCCTTGCTCTTTCTCCACTTTCCAGGTGGGGCCACTTTAATTGCCCCCCAGGAGGGGGGTGGGCAGCTGCTTCTCAAGGAGAGGAGACTTCTTCCCTTTCCTTTTATTCCTTTTCTCCTTTTTTTCTGCATACCCTCTTGTACACTTTCATGCTTTCGATTTTGTTCTTTGTATTACCTGGCCAAAAACTAACCAGCTTCCTCAGAGGCTATTAGACAACCTGGAAAACATTGTTAGGGAGGATGTGCCTGCCACCCACCCCCACCTCCCCAGGAAGAACCTCCTCAACCCCAGCAGCCCAGTGACCTCAGGAAGCTTCTGCTGAGACGCCTGACTCCTGGCCGGGCTAGTACGCAGACCTGGGGAAGGAGAGGCGGCCGGTACAGATCTTACACCTTCTTGTATTTGGGGCTGACTGATTCGGTTACCAGCCTCCTAATCCTGGCTGGTGCCAAGTGGGTTCCCCTGCTGTGTCCAGCAAAAGTGTACTGGGTCATCGTTCAGCAAGCATCTGGGTGCCATGGGAGGCGGTAAGCCACGACAATGCCAGAGGAGTGAAGACACAGGGGCAGCACAGAAGATAAGCACCCAACCTTCCTTACCTTGGAGCAGATTTGTGAGCAGAAAGGGTCCAGTGTAGTTGGTGGCAAGGGTGACAGCAAGGCCCTCTGGAGCACGTGTTGTGGGCAATCATGGGAGGAGACGAAAACACAGGTGGTGGGTGATGGAATGACAGCCCTGAGGGAGATGGTGTCTGGGGAGGATATAGTGAGGTTCAGTAGAAAAAGCCCCAGGAGCACGTATGTGCCAACATCGGGGCAGTGAAGTGTGAAGCTACAACTTAAGGTAGGCTTTTTAGGACAGTGTCCGAATTAAGGGTGTTGCCACAGGACATGCAGATTAGGCTTAGGGGATGCCTGTTTTGGGGTCCCTGAGCCAGAAAGGAGGCTCCTGAAATGCATTTAGGGGAAGTCAGTCAAGACACACACCGCAGACTGCAGCATTGTTAACCAGTAGGTGTATCTCTGGATGCTCACGCAGAAGCCACTGAGCAAAGCTCCGGATGGAGGCCATCGAGCTCACGTCCACCTCACCAAGCAGGAGCTGGTTGCTCTGTGAGGCTGCTCGTATCTGGGCCAGGGCTCGCTGTCCACGCTCACGGCTGTGGCAGGCCAGGATCACACGCGCCCCGCGGCGGGCCAGCTCCTGGGACACAGCCTTCCCAATGCCTGTGGGAGGGCAGCTTCACAGAAGGCTGGTCCGGGGAGCGCGGAGAGGGCAGCGGAGCAAGGGGAGAGACAAGGGTCTGACAGAGGGTGCTGATCCTCCTCTCTGCCCTCCCTGTTGGGGCTGTTGGAGGCTGTGGCCTGTGTGAGGTGACAGGGCAGGATGAGCACTCACCGCTCTTGGCCCCAGTCACCACTGCCGTCTTCCCGGTCAGGTCTGTGGAGCAGTGCTGGAGGTCCCAGAGATAACACTTTTGCCAGGTATACACACTTAGTCTAAGCAGGAGGACCACAGTGAGGACAGAGCTGGGCCCCCAGACTGGGGTGCAGAGTAGAAACCACAGTGACATAGCAGAGAATGCTGGCCTGTCAGTGGAAGGTTGCCCACATAGAAGGTGGGGAGGGACTAGCCAAAGCGAAACGGAGACTAACCAAGAGGTTGGCGTGGAGCAGACCCAAAATTTAAGGAGGCATTCTCTCTTGGAAGTGTTGGAGCTCCCCGTTTGAACCTGAGAGTGAGTTCCTCCTTTAATTGTTTTCCCTAGTAACCTGACTGCCTCACTCCAATGCTGGCCCATGTCAAAGGTCAAGAGAGCTGGGACTACCCTGAGCCCTGCATAGGCTCAGATTTGTCTCCACATGAAACTTGGATTTGCGCGCTAAGGTGAACTGAGAGAGACCCAGGGACTAGAAATCAAATTCCTCATGCCTTGAATCGCTCTGTGCTCATGCAGGGCCATCCCCTTCCTCCCCTACTGGAATGAGACTCAATGAACACTCCAAACTGAGACAGACCCCCACTCGCAACTCTTACGTCTGCTCCTTTGCGGACAGATGGCTCTCCAGACTGCCTCTGCTGGGGAGTCACCTTGGCCCTAAAGCAGGGTCCCCTAAGGGTGGTAATGCACTTATTCCCGGGAGTCAGTGTTCTATCTTCTAGGCCTGCAGGACAACTGCTCCTCTCCAGTTCCGTGAGCGCACACTTGGAAGAAACTGACAGGCATGGGGCCAATTGTTAAGGCAACGCGGGTGTTTATTTCTGGCAGGCAGACAGAAGGTAGGCGGGATTCCCACTGCCTGAGGTTCAGGGCCCAGAATGGGGCAGGTGCTTGGAGGGGAGTGATGATATTTGGGGACCTGAGTTTTTTGTTGGCTGTGCCACCGTCACTTGGGGTTCTGGGGCACCCGTGTGGATGGGACGAGAGGTGCTGCCCTCTTTGTCCTCCTGTTGAGGTTCAGCAGGGCTAAGCAGCTGCTTGGTGGCTGGGTTCCACGTGCTCGCACCAGGAGCCATCTTCAGCACTTTCGGCAGCAACGTGGGCTTCCTCACCACCTGGGACATGGCCTTGAGAACTCCAGGCACAGGGTGAGGCCCCTTCTGAAGATCCTGGCTCTCCTGATCCTTGGGGTCCAGGCCCTGCAGGAGTACGCGGGTGCAGCCCACCCACAGCTCACGCAGCAACTGGGCCTCCCCCTCCCAGCTGCTGGGTCACTAGGAACCCGGCCAGAGTTTGGATCTGGGGCTGCGGGCCACAGTGGGGAGCCCCAGGTGCGTGGTGAGAATGCAGAGGCTAGGACTGGGGAAGGGCAGCTTCGAAGCGAAGCCTGGCGACGGTAAGCCTAGGTTTCAAGCAGGGAATTGGAGGCTGGGGCTGGGCCCCAACTCTCAGATGGGAACCCCAGGCAGGAGAGGGAAGAAAACTGACGGCGAGATGTGGACACAGGAGACAGAGGACCTAAGGTTGGAGCAGTTCAGAGAGGCCCCGAAGAGAACAAAGACGTGGCGGGGCGGGAGGTGGGAGGTGAGCAGTAGCTGGGGGCTGGGCTTACTGTGCCTTGGCTCTTCTTCCGTGCTACTGAGGAGGGCGCGCACCTCACGGGCACGGCTCCCCGAGCCCAGGTGTCAATCGGGCAAGGTGTGGGTTCCTCGTCCTCGGCCCACGTGGGGTCCTCCGCCAGGTTGGGTTCTCCCTCATCCCGGGGCATGAACCGCAACTGGACCATCTGTAGCATGGTCTCCCGTGCCCAGTCTACTGTGTATGGAATACACTGTGGAGGCGAGACAGGGTCTCAGTCCAGCAGGCAGGGGTTGGGGAGAGAGGAGATGGGTCTGGAGGACGCGGATCCAGGCCCACCTGCCGCTCCAGGTAGGATTTGTAGGCGGCATCCATCACTCGTTCCACCAGCTCCTCCATGATGTCGCCCACCACCTCCTCGCCCTCCTCGCAAGCCCTCAGCTGCGCCACCTCTGCCTGCGTGAGCCCTCCAGGCACAATGTTGGCCTGCGGCACCGGAACCTTTGGTGGCCGCGGCTTTTCCGCTGCAGATCCGGGCTCACTGTGTTGCCGGGGCTGCCTCTCCTGCCTCTGTGGGAAAGGAACAGACAAACCAGGGCGGGAAGCCAAGGAGTGGAGAAGGGGGAAGCTTCTTCAAGTTGCCTAATAGGAAAGAAAAAACCTTTGAAAGGGACAGTTTACTAGGAGCCTAGTATGGGACAGATGCCTTCCGGGTGTGTGACCCAGCTAATTCAATTTTCCTAACAGCTCACTAAGCCCATTTTACAGACAAAGAAACTTAAACTTGGCAGAAGTCAACCTATACTTGCTTGAGATTAGACTCTGAACCCAGGCTATGTGTGGCTCTAACCACAGAGTCCTTGTTATTTGCACTAGTTTAAAGTGTTCAAAACTCTTCAGAGTTCAAAGAACTTAAGAAAGATGAGTCAACAAACAGTGCTGGAATTACTGGTGTGTTTAGAGTCTCCTCCCCTCCCCCAAATCAACTTAGGTCCTCATTTCACAATATACATATCAATAAATTCCAGCTGAATTAAAGGATAAACACACACACACAAATAAAAGAACATAAAAACAAAAAATAAAATGTAGGAAAAGTAGTTTAAATTGTTATATAACCTCTGGGTGAGAGAGAACTACCTAAGCATAAAAGTCATGTAAGAAATGGGTAGAAAAGTGTATACATATAGGTCAAACTTTCCTGTTATTTTTTTTAAATATTCCGATTTACAAGCTGATAATAGTAATTTCCACTTACTGCCACTTAAACCCTATCAGTCATATACATGGATTCAATTGCCACATTTTTTAGTATATGTACGAAAATACTAGAGTATCTTATCCCCATTTTACAGAATTTGCCCAGGATCAGAGAGCAAGGAAGTAGTGGAGTCATAATTCGTATGCAGACAGGTCAGACTCCAGAACTTGACTTTCTCCTGCTTCCTAAACAAATACAAATATTTCCAACAAATATTAAAAAGGATAAATATCCCCCAAAATACTAAAAATGCACATACAATTTTTTAAAAATTGTAAGACTCCCAAGAATAATAAGCAAAGGACATAATATATCATAAAACTGGAACTGTGGATGACAGCATTTGAAAAGACGTGCAACTTTCAAAAATATGAACTCCAGTTTTATAAATATACCAAAAAGCATATTCTGAAATGAAAATAAAAATATACTCTCTAAAATATTTCCTGTAATGTCATTTATGACAGCAGAATGCTGAAAACATAGATCTAACAAAAAGAGAAAAGACGGCTAATTGTGTACGGGCTATGTGATGGAATATTATCCCATGGTTGGAGGTAATCTTTAGGAAGAATTTACAATAGAGTAGTTAAATAGTTATATGTTAAATGAAAGAAACAGGATACAAAATTACATCAGGTATGATCTCAGATATGTAAATCAACAGGTGCTGAAGAAAAGGAAAAGCCCAAAATTGTAACAGTGGGAAAAAATTTCTGTAACAGTGGATGTTTCTTTTCTACACTCCTCTCCATTTTGTAAGGTTTCTACAACGGTTTTGTATCCTTTCAGAATCAAGAAAAATCCACTGAGAAGGAAAACAAAACCCTAGACCCCCAAACCCATTAACGACACAGGAATTTACTAGCAGACTCTTAGGCGCCTCCTCACTCCCCCACAAGTTTCCCTGACCCTGATTCCTTCCAAAATTCACCTCCCAACAAAATCTTCCCAAGCCTTTGCCCCCCCACCCCAACCTTACTGCCTCATACATGGTGTTCCCCCAAATTCATTCTCCTTCATCCTGAGTTCCCTAAACCTCACGCTGAGCTCAGAACTCCTCAAGCCTCGCTGCCCCTCTCTGCCGGCGGGACAGCCCTGGAGGCAAGCCCGGGGAACGGCCGCAACTCAGCCCCGGCTTGGCCGGAGCAGGGCAGGCAGTGTGGGAGAGGAGGGTCCGTCTCTCCTCCCGAAATTCTCAGAAGGGCTCATTCCCCTAGCGACTGCTCTCCCTGGGCCTGGCCGCTGCTGGTTGCTGCCTTGAAGCGGGCGACTCAACGT